GAAGATTTCACATTTAGAGTTAGATTTTGTGCAGGGAGATATGTATCTGTCTGATTTCTTTTAATTACTGACCTAGGCCATGCAGGCTTTCTTCTTAAGCACACTGGGAGTGGGGGAGGGGTGTCTAATTGATTCAAGAAGCAAACTGTGGTGGGTTGGAGGGGGGACACCACACAACTCTGACAAAAGTGGTAAAATGTTTTTAAAAAGGGGACTGAAATAGCACAGACCTGCCATCGTCGCCTCCCTCCCTCCCTCCATCCCACTCCCCTAGTCTCACATCAGTGTGGTTTTGTAACTGGCTGGCCAGTGACACTCTGTGATCTGAGCCTCCACCTTAGAGAGTGATTCGCCCGTTTTTCATAGCTTCCTGTCATACTTTCGCTTTTGTCGTCTGAGTGGGTCTGCCGGCCATCCCTGATTTCACTGTATCCCGGGAGGCCAGCGTGTCTCTGCCGGCGTAATAACGGCCGGTGGCATTTGTGCCCCTCGCACGAGACTGTGGGTGAGATCCATACCCTACTGTCAGTTTGTTGCCCCCCGCCCGCCCCTGGAGCATGAGCCTGGCAGGACCCTCTGCCTGCTGCCTGAGTGTGGGAGATGATCGATCAGATGTAGAGGGTCGTAGGGCGACACCTAGTGGTGGCAATTTTGTGCAACATGCCTAGTTCCCCGGGCACTCAGCGACAAGGGCCTCAGCGAATCGCCTGCAGTCAGGCAGCCAGAGTGAAGAGAGTCCAGGCAAGATGGCGGGTATGTCGCAGAGGCAGTGGGAATGGTGAGAACGGTCTCTGTGTAGGAGATTGCACCTGTAGACTAAAGGATGGCTTGGTGGCTGTTATGCGTGCAACACGGGCAAGTTGCAGGATTGGTGGTGGCTTGAGCTGGTCGACCAGAAGGCTTAATTCCTTCACGATACCGCCATCGGTCCCCAGCCGTGGTCTCGGCGACCCGAGGCCGAGAGGAGGCGCTGTCCCTGGCTTCTCTAGGGCCAGTGCCCGGGATTCTCCGTGATCTCCGTGCACTTCTGGCCCTTCTTCCCATCTGCAGGAGCCCTGGGTCCCTGGCGGTGGTCTTGGAGTCCTGAGGGCAAGAGGGGGCAGTGGCCTCGTTCCTCTCTACCTGTCAGTTCCAGGTTCCTCATATGGTCAGAATTTTTCCTCCACGTGTCCTCCCATCCTGGGCTGTCCAGTATCGGGGTCCTTGACCAAAACAATGCTGTGTGCCTGCCTTTCCTGCATGTCCACCTCCATGTCGTCTTTGTATTTTTATTATTATTATTGTTGGTGTCAGTATTTTATTATTCTTGTTGTTATTATTATTACTATTGTTTTTGTTATTATTGTATTGGTATTATTATTATCTTTATCATTATTGTTTTTGTTCTATGACTATTATTTCATTATTGTTATTTTTTCGTTGTTGTTATTTATGATTGTTGTTATTATTATTACTATTGTTTTTGTTGTTATTGTTATTACTATCATTATTAGTATTTGTATTGTTCTATGGTTATTATTTATTTTTGTTATTGTTATATATTTGTCGTTCAAGTTATTTTATTATTGTTATTTTTATTATTATTACTATTGTTTTGTTGTTATTGTTATGGTTGTTAATATTATTATTGTTGTTGTTGTTCTATGGTTATTATTTATTTTGTTTATTGTTATAAATTTGTCATTGTTGTTATGTTATTATTGTTGTTATTATTATTATTTTTCTTAGTATTGTTATTGTTACTATTATTGTTTGTATTCTTGTTGTTCTTCTATGAGTATTATTTATTTTTGTTGCTGTTGTTAAATTGTTGTCATTGTTGTTAGTTTATTATTAGTAGTATTGTTTTGCTATTATTTTTATTGTTGTTACTATTATTAGTATTATTGCTTTGTTTTCTAAGATTATATTTTATTGTTGGTACTGTTGTTATATTTTTGTTATTTTATTACTATTGTTCTTATTATTACAATTGTTTTGTCATTATTGTTATCTTATATCATTATTGTTATTGTTGTTACTATTATCCTTTTTATCTTTATTGTTGGTGTTCTATGATTATTATTTTCTTTTGTTATTTTATTATTATTGTTTTTAGTATTATTGCTATTGTGTTTGTTATTGTTGTTATTGTTGTTAATATTATTTTTCATTATAATTGTTGTTGTCCTATGATTATTATTTATTTGTGTTATTGTTATATTTTGTCGTCGTTACTTTAACAATATTGTTATTAGTACTATTGTTTTTGTTATTGTTATTCTTGTTACTATCATTATTTTTATTATTGTTTTTCTATGATTATTATTTATTTTTGTTATTGTTATATTTTTGTCATTGTTGTTATTTCATTATTATTGTTAGTATCATTACTATTGTTCTTGTCATTTTTGTTATTGTTTTGGTATTATTGTTATCGTTGTTATTATTATTATTTTTATCACTATTGTTGTTATTCTATTATTATTATTGTTTTGATTATTACTATTTTTTATTATTGTTTTATTGTTGCTATTATTACTTATATGGTTATTGTTGTTCTTTTATGATTATTATTTATTTTTTATTGTTATATTTTTGTCATCGTTGTATTTTATTATTACTATTGTTATTATTATTGCTTTTGTTGTTATTATTATTTTCACCACCCTGGCTGCTGTTGCCATTGTTCACCGTTACTTTACTGTTATCTTCGTCATCCTTACCGTCACTATTGTTTGCCCCACACATTGATTCCCACCCACCCACCGGCCAATCCCAGCCCCATTTACCCCCCAGGTGAAGTGACACTAATTGCTCCCCAGGGAAATTAATCGCCCCCTATTCTTCTGTATCTTTTCCCCCACCACCCCATGCTTGCTCTGCTCCCCCAGGGTCCCCAGTGACAAATAAAAACAAATAGACGAATAATGATAATAAATAAATTAATAATAAACAAACAAATGAATAAATATAAATAATTAAACAACAATATTAACAGTAACAAGAATGATGATTAAACAACGAAGAAAGGAACAATAATCATAACAACAACAATGATATTAAAACAACAACAAAAACAACAATAATGACAGTGAGTAATTATAACAGAACAACAACAATAACAATATCAACAATAGTAATAATAACAACAACGACAATAAATTACTGCAATTAATGATGAATGAACACAGCAGCGTCAGTTTTAATTCAGCCCAAGGCATCTACACAACAGCAAAGTTTTCTTGAGTGATGCATGGCAGGGTTAGGTTTCTTCACAATCTGCCTTCTCTCGGGTCCAACCGAACAAACTTCTCAACAAAAACAACAACAAAAATAATAACAAAACAATAACAACTACAATAATAAAAATAACAATAATAACAATAAAAAATAATAACAGACAAGAACAATAACAATAATAATAACAAAAAATGATAACGACAACAATAATAACAAGGCAATAACAACAACAATAAAACAATAACAACAAAACAACAATAATAATAACAAAGAAACAACGAACAACCACGACAATAATAATAAATAAACAACAACAACAACATTAATAACAAAACAATAACAACAACAATAAGGATGGCGTCCAGTGACTCAAACCCTGGCTTTCTGATGCTGGTTCCACCAGCCAAGCGCTACTGCATGGCCAACATTTCCGACCCGGCCAGCGCAGTATAGTTATGTCACAATTGTGATGTCATAGTGCACTATAGTGATGTCACAATGCATAATTGTGATGTCATAGTGCACTATAGTGATGTCACAATGCATAATTGTGATGTCACAGTGCATTATAGTGATGACACGATGCATAATTGTGATGTCACAGTGAAGCATAGTGATGTCACAAGGCATAATTGTCATAGTGCAGTTTAGTGATGTCACAATGTATAATTGTGATTTCATAGCGCACTATAGTGATGTCACAATGCAAAATTGTGATGTCATAGTGAACTATTCTGAAGTTGCAATGCATAATTGTGATATCATAGTGCAGTATAGTGATGTCATGATGTATAATTGTGATGTCATAGTGCAGTATAGTGATGTCACAATGTATAATTGTGATGTCATAGTGCAGTATAGTGATGTCACAATGCATAATTGTGAGGTCATGATGTAGTATAGTGATGTCACAATGCATAATTGTGATTATATAGTGCAGTATAGTGCAAATAGTTTCTCTGATGTTTATAAAGAATCTGGCTCTGTATTTCTGCTGTGGATGCCTTACCACTATGAACAAATTTCATATTATATGTACTGAAATATTCTTCCTCTTTTATTGATACTCATTGCAAAATATTCTTATAGAATCATCTAGCAGATTATTTGAATTTATGTCTTGACATTTGCAAATGGTTCTCTTTGATACCATAGAAAGGACAAAGGTCTTCAAGTATAGAGTCATCCATGCAGACTTCCTTGTTAAATCAGTGTCCTATTCAAACAGAGGCACATACAAAGTAGGGACTTGGCATTCCCAACCAGGAAATGAAATCACATCCAAAATTAGCATTTTTGAGTTCCATGTGCATAATTGTAAATACTAACATTTCAAATTGAAATTTTTACCCAGCATTAAATTTTCAACTGAGAAATATGCACTGTCAAGTAAATGTAGCATTCTAAATAGTGTTTTGACATATTTGTGGAAAACAACTTTTATCCCACCACTGGTGAGGCGAAGACAGTTGGATCTCAGTGAGATACAGGGTATCCCTTCATTATACTGATTTCTACTTCAACCTGGGCTTCGTGGTGAGAATTTTTCTCTGAAAAAAAAGAAAAAAAGAAATTTGTATTTTTGTGCTGAGTCCTTAATGTTGCACTCTTGAGCCTGTTTCATGGTACCAGGCCACAGTGTTTTCCCAGTTAGAAAAGGAGTTTTAAACCAGGTGGTGTTGACACAGGTCTGTAATCCAGTTTTTCAGTATTATCCGGGTATCTGATTCCATGTTTATTAACACAAATTAGAATTCTCGAGAACACGAGTTCTGATTCTGAGACCACCATGGCCAAGAAAATGGATATGTCTTTGGATGACATCATTAAGCTGAACCGGAGCCAGCAAGGCAGTCGCGGCAAAGGCCAGGACTGGAGCAGTGCCAGCTACCAGAGCCGCCATGGTGGTGACATGCAGGCCCCAGTGTGGGGGAATCAACGCAGCAGGTCTCTGAGGAACAGGCCTACCATGAGTGGTGGCTCTGCAGGAGGAGGCAGGAACCAGCTGGTTCCCTACAGCAGGCCTAAACAACTTTCCAACAAGTGGCAGCATGACCTATTCGACAGCCATTTCTGTGGTGGAGCCAGCATGGAGATGGGCAGAAAGCTGTTGGTGTCAAACCTTGACTGCGGGGTGTCAGACGCGGAAATTCAGGAACTCTTCTCAGAGTTTGGAACACTGAAGACAGGAGCTGAGCACTATGATCTCTCTGGACAACGTTTAGGGACAGCACATGTGCACTTTCAACAGAAGGCAGATGCCCTGAAGGCTATGAAACAGTACAATGGTGTCCCTTTAGATGGCCCCGCCATGAACATTCAGCTTGTCACATCACAGACTGACTCACAAAGAAAACCCGCACAAAGAATGAACAGAGGTGCCATGAGGAGAAACCATGGCTCAGGGTGTTTTGGTGGTGGCCTCATCCGGAGAGGGACCTGTGGAGGCAGCATTGGAAGAGGTAGAGGTACAAGCAGGAACTCAAAGCAGCATCTTTCTCCTGAGCAGTTGGATGCATAGCTGGATGAGTACAATGCACAGATGGACACCAGTTAAACAGCTGGGCAAATCCACAGAAGTGACAGGACCCAGAAGCTTCGTCCATAATCCCTAGAGGGAGGGTTGGCAACTGGACTGTGCAGACAATGGTGGATTTCTTTTTTGTTTGTCTCTTTCTCTTTTTTCCCGATGTTCAAATGGGATCTAAAAACTCATGTAAAGCCTTCTATTTCTCTTTTTTTAAATTCTGAAACACACCTGTTTTGTACCGAGTTATTTTGACGATCAGTTTTACTGGATACTGTTGTGGAGAAGGTGGCATGTTCACCTTTGCCATAATAAACTAGAATTGTGTGTAGGAAAGAAAATAAAAAGAGAATTCTGGCTACAAAACCTATTGTGTTTTAGTTTGTTGTGAGCTGACACCTAGTGGTGAGACTGTGTTATTCCCACAGGAGGGGGGTCAATGCCTGCAGCCTGCTCAGGGGGAATTTACAGAGAATGGTTGTGGCAGAGTTGCAGCAGTCTGCTTTCTGTGGGTGAGAACAGTTTGCTTGCTGTCTCCCTTGCTCCACCTGAGGGTTTCTTGGAAAATTACTTGTTAAGTGTATTTCTTTCTGGCAGATTTTCATTAAATTTGGTCTGTAGTAAATTAAATAATTTATTTTGTGTGCTTTTGTGATCCCAAACATTCAGTTCCATTTCTGCTCCTGAGGTTTGACTGGGAAGTGATTGGAATTAGCGTTCAAGTTACACTCACTGAAGGTGGTTTCTAGGTATTTTCAGTGTTATTCCTGTTTATGTTAAATGGGGAATCACTTGTAGAGTCTGATATTTTTAACTACTTGGGTACAGTTCTGTGTTAACATTCCAGGTACTTTCCTTCTGAATGATCTCTTTCTCATGTTGGGGGCAATTAATCCCCCAGATCTGCTCACCTGTGGATACAAACAAATAGTTCTAGAAAGTGGAGAGAGCGGAGACAGTAGTGAATGATCTGGTGGGACATAATTCAGTTTTCCCTGCATTCAGTTTTACTAGAAATAATTCTATAGACTTCCAATGAGAAAGATCTCAGAATTATCCTGGTATCGCTATGAGAAGACTTTCTACATAAGAATTGGTACTAGTTGGAAAATCAATCTTATATGAATATTCATGTGAGCCATGCATAGTGCATTTAGGTTCTCCTTCAAGATATATCCTTCCCTAATGCTCAGAAATAGGCTAGGCTTCCAGTTCCAGAAATAACTTTCCTGTGGTTGAGAACTCCTTAAGTCCAATTACAAGCTGTTGGTTACCACCAATGTATGTGTGCTGCTCTTGCAACCTTCAGGTTATCATGCAGTGCAGACCATTGTTATGGTTCATAATTTTCATACCTGGGAAGGGCTGTTGGCTTTAAAATTTACAGATTGCCTTATGATATCAAGAAAGCTAGTTCCCATGGTGGAGACTTTAAATTCTTGTCCACATCAAGACTTCTGGCTCTGACTGAAGCACATGGCTTCTTCAGCATAGGGCTCACCTGCTACTTCTGGGAGGCAAAGGGGACAACCACAGTAGACTCTACTGTTTTTGAAATGTCAAGAACATCAGTGATGAACAATATCAAACAGGATGCTGTGGTTGCTTTGTAAGAATGTCCATGGCCCTTATGAAGAACATCATGAGGTAAGACTGGAAGATATCATTTATACTCTAACTGTATATGCTTATAGACACAATGATGTATTACAGCCATATTTATAGATGATAATATTTAGAAGCATTAAAGCCTTTTCATACATCCTTACTGTTATTTTATTCTCTCTTCTTTTTTATTTATGTCTATCACTTCTCCATTAATCACACATGCACACACACACACACAGACAACACACACACACACACATTCAATCATCCTTTTAAGTGTATCATGTCATGTTTTTTCTACTGCCCATTATTCCCCCACTCCATACAGGAGTCTCCTTTTATTTTTTGAATATTCCGGTTACTTCAGGTTGTGTACTCACTTTTAAAGCTTGGAGCTAAGAACTTCCTATAAGAGAAGATGCCCTCTCTGTTTTTCTGGGTCTGAGTGTATCCATTCAACATGATCTTTTCTTTTTCCATCTATTTAGCAGAAAAGCTCATGATTTCAATTCTCTTTAGAGCTGAATAGTCTTTCATAGTATATGTGTACCACATTTTCACTATCTATTCGTCCAGTTTAGAGATATTTAGGATGCTTCCATTTTGTGGCTATTGTGAAGATAGCCTGATCAAGTATTTTTGGAGAAGGATACTAAGTCCTTTGAGACTATGTCAAGGCATAAAAGGGCTGGGTTGACTTGTTAAATTAATTTAATTAGAGGATTTATTTATTTGAGTATTGTCCATATTGCTTTCCAGAGGGGCTAGATTTTTGTTCCTGGTATTTTTATTTACTATGTCTTTCTTTTTGATGTTGTTGTTGCTTTTTATTGTTAGCAGTATTTTTCTTCCATCTGTGTGAGAATTAATGATTTGCTGTCTTGCCCATGGATGATTACCTCCAATTTTTCTGGAATTTAGGATTCCTCATATGAAGTTTACTATTTCCCATATTCTCATGGGTAAATCCCCTGATTCTCCTGTATTAATTTTAAATATAATTATTGTCTGCAAAGTTGCTTTAGTGAAACCAATTATCTTAACATGAATTTTGAAATGCACTTCCATATCCATCAATTTTAAGATAAATTTGTTTCTTGACGTAATAATATAGTTAGACTGATTTTCCTTTCAACTTTAAATGACATTCAGTGTTCTCTGGATTTTTTAGATCATTATCTGGATATCTGATATTTTGGTTGCTAGGGTATCTTCATGTTATTTGACATTTTCTTTTTTTATTACTTTAATTTTAAATAGCTTGTTTCACATGTCAATCCCAGTTCCCTGTCCCTCCAGCAGCCATCCACCATCTCCCCAAGCCTCCCACCCTATTCCCACTTCCTTACACATAGGGGATAACCAGAGTCTGTCATTTAGCTCAGGGCATGGTCCAAGAACTCTCCTAAGAGTCCAGGCTGAGAGAACATCCCTCTTTGTGTTATGGACACACAATGTCCTTTTGTATGCAGGGATAAACAATGATCTAGTGCCCAGGGCCCCATAGGTTGCCCAGGGCTCCTCACTGACTCTCACACTCAGAGGGTCTGGATCAGTCCCATGATGGCCTCCCAGCTGTCTTTCTGGTTTGTAAGAGCCCCCTTGTTCAGATCAGCTGTCTCTGCTGGTTTTGCCAACCCATTCTTTGTCACTTTTTCATCAACCCCCTCTCTCTGTCACTGGGTTCAATGGGTGCAGTTCAGTGTTTAACTGTGGGTGGTTTTCTCTCCTTCCATCAGTCACTGGATGAAGGTTCTAGGATGACATATAGTGTAGATCACATTTTCATTAACAGCTCTCAGTATTAATTTTTTCTTTTTTTAACAAGAGACTTTTAACTGTTTTTCTTTTTTATGTTTTGCTTTTATTAAATTTTTTAATTCATTTTTCAGTTTTAATTTAGATACTGGTATCACAAGGTTTGTTTTGGCTATCCCGGGTCTTTTGTTTTTCCATACAAAATTGATTATTGTTCTTTCAAGGTCTGTGAATAATTTTGCTGGGATTTTAATGGGGATTGCATTGAATCTGTAGATTGCTTTTGGCAGGATTGCCATTTTTACTACATTGATCCTACCTATCCAAGAGCATTGGGAGATCTTTCCATTTTCTGAGGGCTTCTTTAATTTCTTTCTTTAAAGATTCAAAGTTCTTGTGATACCAGGTCTTTCACTTGTTTGGTTAGTGTTACCCCAAGGTATTTTATGTTGTTTGTGGCAATTGTAAAGTGTGATGTTTCTATGATTTATTTTTCAGCCCTTTTATCATCTGTATATAGTAGGGCTACTGATTTTCTTGAGTTGATCTTGTAGCCTGCCACTTTGCTGAAGGTGTTAATCAGCTGTAAGAGTTCCCTGGTAGAGTTCTTTGGGTCATTGATGTAAACTATCATATCATCTGCAAACAGTGAAAGTTTGACCTCTTCCTTCCCAATTTGTATCCCCTTGATCCCCCATTGTTGTCATATGGCAATGGCTAGAAATTCAAGTACCATGTTGAAAAGATATGGAGAGAGTGGACAGCCTTATTTTGTTCCTGATTTTAGAGAAATTGCTTTGAGTTTCTGTCTGTTTTGTTTGATGTTCGCTGTTGGTTTACTGTATATAACTTTTATTATGTTTAAGTATGTCCCTGTTATCCCAGATCTCTCCAAGGCCTTTATCATGAATGGTGTGTTGGATTTTGTCAAAGGCTTTTTCAGCATCTAGTGAGATGATCATGTGATTTTTGTTTATCAGCTTGTTTATATGGTGGATTACGTTGATGGATTTTCACATGTTGAACCATCCCTGCATCCCTGGGATTAAACCTACTTGATTTAGTTTTGGCAAGTGATAGCTATCCAGGAAGTTGTCCATTTCCTTTAAATTTTAGAATTTTGTGGAGTACAGGTTTTCAAAGTGTGACCTGATGATTCCCTGGATTTCCTCAGAATCTGTTGTTATGTCGCCCTTTTCATTTCTGATTTTGTTAATTTGCATGTTCACTCTCTGCTGTTTGGTAAATTTGGACAAAGGTTTGTCTATCTTGTTGATTTTCTCAAAGAACCAACTCTTTGTTGCATTGATTCTTTGTATTGTTTTCCTAGTTTCTACTTTATTGATTTCAGCCCTCAATTTGATTATTTCCTGGTGTTTACTCCTCCTGGGGGAGATTGCTTCTTTGTGTTCTAGAGCTTTCATCTGTGCTGTTAATTCTCTAGTACAACTATTCTACAGTTTCTTCATGTCGGCACTTAGTGCTATGAACTTCCCCCGTAGCCCTGCTTTCAAAGTGTCCCATAGGTTTAGGTATGTTCTGTCTTCATTCTCATTGAATTCGAGGAAGTATTTAATTTCTTCCAATAATCTGGTGGTTCTTCTATTCCTTGTCCTCCTTCTGGTCCTGTGGGTGAAGAACAGGAATCTGGCGTGCTTAGCCTCCTACCTGGTTCCCTGGACCCTATGCTGGATCCTGTTGTACCTGATCCTGCGGCTAGAACAGCTGCTTCCCTGGACTCCTTGGCTCCTCTGGTTTCCTGGTCTTGTTGGTGGGGGAGAAGACCTGGAGTCTGGGGTGCTTGGCTCCCGCTGGGATTGGAAGCTCTGTGCAGTTCCCAGACGGTCACCACGAACTGGAACACAGGCCCAGAAGGCGGCCCGTTTACCTGATGCTGCCACCGAAACCAGCTGCTTCCTAATTTTTTCTTTTTTTCATCCCTTATAAGTCATCTTTCTGCCCATTGCTC